GTTGCTGCGCATTTACATCAAAATTGGTAACAGTTCATCGCAAAGTCGCTTAAGAACGGGTTTGAACTGAACCGTAGAAAATGCACTTTTAAGTTTTCCGCACAGACGCACGGGTCAGTCATGCTTGGTAACCCTTTTTTGAGTAAGCTTTTGACGTTGATAGGCTCATATGTTCAAAAAGTGATTGTCAGCGAGTATGACGAAAATAGCAAAACAATCTCTTAAACGTCTCTGTTTTTGTCCATTTCTGAAACTCGTACGATTTAACCTTAGCTTATTCCCCCAAAACCGAGTTGCCTTTCAAAGACATGCTGAACCATGATAACGAGTCATTGCACATTTAATCGATGTACTTTGCCTTGTCTGTACCCCATCGCAGCGACCTCAAGATCTATATAGCAGATTATGCAGACATCATGATTTATTGTAATAAAGCGCTTAGTCTGTCCGTGTCTGCATGTGTATTCCTCTGCTTGCCACGAAATGGTTCATTTCTCCTAAGCATGCCAGCTTAAAAATATTGAGTAAACATGAGCGTGCTAGGTTGGTTGTTCATTTCGTGATACATGGGCAGCACATGCGACACTTTTTGTTGACTCAAATTTTCCTGCTAGATTGTTGAAAATTAAAAATCTTGTTGTAATACATATGCCACAGTTTCATCTATGCACATGGCAATCAGCATTCTCCACGAGGGGCTAACAAACCCATGGCGGGCTTATAAGAACACATACAAGAATTTGCAGGCAATGAAAGATTGAAAGCGTGCAATTTCAGCAAATATATAAGCAAAATTATGGTGAAGATGTTTAGGTACTGGTAAAAGAATGCATATGGTGGTGCAATCAATTAGCCTACTTCTAAATAAGGTCAATTAGCGCTGACTGCCTGTTTTTACGATAAAAACAAACAAAGTTCAAGCTATAAACAAAATACCCACAGGATTCAATTTGAAAGGATTTCTCTGGAAGTGCGTAACGATAAACGCATTGAAAGTTTATTTCAGAGTAATCTGAGGTCAAAAGTTATTGAACTAACCGCCCTATTGTAAATGTTTGAATTGTACATGCTGGCATAGAGGAGCGTGAGAAAACTGTATAATTTCAAAATCAGCATTTTGAAGTAACTGATAAATTATTTCACTTAACTAGTTTAGCAAATGACATTCCCATGAAGGAGTGATTAGAACCAATTAGAAAAATTATCATTCACTACGATGCAAAATCATTGCTATCTAAGGAATCATAGGTTTAGAAAAAAGTCTGCGATAATTTGTCTAATAAGGCAAAGAAGTATGTCTCATCAGTAGAAGAAGGAGATGTCACCACTATAATGTGGAAGTGGTTTTGACTTAATAGAGTTAAATAATGATAATATA